TGACATGGTTGGACAGTGTTCTCAAAGCTACCAGCATGAGTTTGACCAAGCTGTGGGAGGCAGTGGAAGACAGGAGTGCCTGGCGTGCTCTGGTCCAGGGGGTCACGAAGAGTCGGACACGACTAAACGACTAAACAACAACTCTTAAGTCAGGGGTTGGCAAAGGTTTATCTTGCCTGGGCTGGTTGCATGCGTGAGCATGCACGCCCATGATTTTCGGTGTCTGTGTCTGCGCAGGCGTGATTTCTGGCGCCACAGAAGTGAGTCCCCGTGCCGGGCCAGTTTAGCGCAGCGTGCGAGTGGGCAGCTCAGTTTGGGAGTGGCTTGTGGGCCGGTCAAACAACCGCCCATGGGCCTTAGGTTGCTGTCCCCTGCTCTTAAGTCCTTCCAAACAGGGGAAAGACTGTAGTCCAACAGTAAAGCACCTGCTTTGTAGGCAGAAGTTCTCACGGTCAACCCTGGGTGCCTCTAGAGAAGACTGGGAATATCTTCTGCCTGAACCCTTGGAGAATCGCTTCTGGTTAGTGCAGACCATACTGAGCTGGGTGGATTAGTGGTTTGACTCCAGTATAAGACAGCTTCTAATATTCCTAAACTTGTAAAAAAATTCTACATAGGGTATTACATCTTTCCTCTTGATAGCAGCAATCACACAGGGGGAAATGTAATTTGCAAAGAGGTCTTAAGGCCCCTTCCATATTTGAATGCATCTTCCCGTTTCTAAAACTGGCACAGGGCAGGGATCAAATTTCTTTGCAACGCCAGTGCTTCCTCCAATATGCAGCAACCAATCTGGGGAAAATCTGTGCAGCTTGGGCAATGCCACATAGTAATGGGGCAAAGAAAACTAGAGTTATAAAACAGATTTACTGGAGAATGGTAGACTACAAACTAGACAGGGGTCAGCAAACTTTTTCAGCAGGGGGTCGGTCCGCTGTCCCTCATACCTTGTGGGGGGCTGGACTATATTTTTTGGGGGGAAATGAACGAATTCCTATGCCCCACAAATAATCCAGAGATGAATTTTAAATAAAAGGACACATTCTACTCATGCAAAAACACCAGGCAGACCCCATAAATAACCCAGAGATGCATTTTAAATAAAAGGACACAGTCTACTCATGTAAAAACACCCTGATTCCCAGACCGTCCGCAAGATGGATTTAGAAGGCCATTGGGCTGGATCTGGACCCCGGGCCTTAGTTTGCCTACCCATGGCCTTCTAGTGGTCTAAGCTCCAACCAAAGGAGGTCATGTGACCCACAGGTCAGCTGACACTGGCCAGACAACAGTCTGCTGTGTCCAGTGAGTAAGCAACTATCTGCCTGCCAGATTTGGCCCGGCAGGACAGTCAACTGCAGACCACACTGGCTGGATTAGGATTTCAGGTGCTGTGTGGTAGGGAAAACCGAGGTGGGAGTGAAGAAACCTGAAACCCTCCTCATCAAGTTACATTTTTAATGTTCTTTTCAAAGTGCTTTTGATGTCGCGCTCAGCTTCTGAACCAACAGAGAACTCTACTCTGCAAGTCTCGTGGTTTTTAAAAATTGATAACGCAGAAGGCGATGTTTAGGTTGTAAAGCAGCAGAAAGAAAGGAAATTCAGGGGTGCCCAATCTACTCCCAACAAAGGCTGCGATCCTAAATCCACTTAGGGCTTGTCTGTCCTGTGCCTAGAACGCATGGGACCAAGAGGTTTTCAGTTTGTCCCAACTCTGTCCTTGGAGAAACCTGCTTTTTACCGCTGAATCGGAGCAAGCACCAGTCTGCAGAAAACCTGATTGATTATTTGCTCCAATTCAGCGGACAAAAAGTGGGTTTTGCCTGGGGGAAAGAGGCCGGAGGTGTAGCTGAGCGCCTACTTGGGAGTAAGCCCCACTGAATTCAGCAGACTAACCTCTGAGTAAATATAATGAGGATCTAGGGCCAGGCGATGTATTGATCCATAGTCCAAAATCAGTTTGAAGTCCACACACTGTGATAACGTTTCATAATATTTGTCAGGGCGATATATTGTGAATCAAAATGTATGTTTGTGTGTGTTATGTAAAAAATTGTGATATGGGAGAAACTGTGGAGCTGGTCATCATTTGTCATGATTCCTGCTGCCCCTGTTGTTCTGTACAGTCGTACCTCTGCTTACGTATCCCTCTGGATACGTAAACTTCGGGTTGCGAACGCGGCAAACCCGGAAGTGTATACTTCTGGGTTTCACTGCGCATGCATGCGCAGAAGCGCTCTGCGCACATGCGCAGAAGGGCGTCTCCAGTTTTGAAGTTTTCGGGATGCGGCTGGGCCTCCGGAACGGATCCCGTTTGTAATCGGAGGTACCACTGTACTATAAAATAACAGTTGTAACAATGTGTTAAAGGTAAGTAAAATGTGTAAGTTTTTGACCCCTAAGTAGTGACAGTTGCCAGGATATTACCCTGTTTGCCTCTTCATGGTTACATCCTCATTTCAGACATCATGATATAACAATATTGTGATGTTTAGCTGAGCAATTATCTCAGGGCCCTCATAATAACGGGACTGCCTCTCCTGGTCTGCCCCACAGAGGACCTTAAGGTCCATGAATAAGCATAGTTTAGAGGTCCCGGGGCCTAAGGAAGTCAGACTATCCTCCACCAGGGCCTTTTCAGTGATGGCTCTGACCTGGTGGAATGCTCTGTCCCATGAGGCCAGGACCCTGCAGGATTTAACCACCTTCCGTCGGGCCTGTAAGACAGAGCTATTCCGCCTGGCCTTTAATTTGAACTTAGCCTGATTTTTTATTCCCCTCCCTTCCCTCCCTCTCCCCTTTTTATGAAGATTACCTGCTCTGAGACCCCACAGCTAATTCTCCCCTGGCCTCCTCGCTGGCCCAAGTGGGACTAATTCAGTCAGCTAGCCCTGGTGACTATCTAATGCTTTGGATGGATTTCCCCCAAATTGATTTCTGAACTTTGAATTTTATTGTTATTCATGTTTTTATACTGTATTTTATGCTGCTTCTACAATTAAGTGTTTTAAATTTCTTGTTGGCCGCCCTGAACCCAGTTTTCTGAACCGGGAAAGGCGGGGTATAAATAAAAAAATATTATTTATTTATTTATTTATTATTATTATTATTATTATTATTATTATTATTATTATTATATCATCAGCGCTGACTGGCAGCAGCCTTTGGTGAAGCAGGATTTGAACCAGGGGCCTTCTGCATGCAAAGCACCTGCTCTCCCAACCCAACTAAGGCCCTTCCCTATAGAGGTGTGGGGCTGCATGGCAAGGGGGCATATAAGAGAGACGGAAGGAAAGCCACATTAAGGTCTTTTCCACCCCTTTTTTGGGCCCAAAAATGGAAGCAAGAAGAGTTACCGACGATTGAAGAATGGAGGATGAAGTTAATGGACTATGCAGAATTAGCTAAACTAACAGGAAGGATTCGAAACCGGTGAGACCAGAAATTCACAGAAGACTGGAGTAAATTTACGGACTATTTGAAAAGTAACTGTGAAGAACAGACTATGTTTGTAGGGTTGCAAGAAGTTTTGTGAGGAGTATTATTAGAAGTATTGCAAAAATGGAGAAGGGGGAGGATGATTTGTTAAGAGATGTAAAGGCAATATAAAGTTAAGAAATGCATAAGAAGTGGTTAAAACGGTGGATCATCAGTGGTGCTGATGGAAGTCCAAAAAGATTGTATAAGTGATAAGTTTCGTGGTACATTTTATAATTTATATGTTAAAATTAATAAAAAATATTATATAAAAGGTCTTCTCCACCCCACATGTGTAGGTAAGCTGCAGTCACGTGGAGCTGCTGGGAAAACATCAAGCCCCGGAGCCATAATTGGAGAAGTCAAAGAACAGCCGTGCATGCAAATCAAAAGGAGCCACAGCCAGAATGGGACAACTTCTGCATAGCGAGTTTGCCTTGTTCTGCCCCCACCGCAGTCAGGGGCTAATTGAACTTCTGGTCGGTGGTTCTGTTTGATGCTGTGCAGAGAAGACTCGGGTACCCAATTTGAGAAGGAAGGTTTCCTGCGAGTGAGTCTTCTTATTAGCACAATAAAGCGTCCCGTTTCAAGCCGCTCATTATTTTCCACCAGGTTCCCCCCCATATCCCACCCCCTCCGCACAATGGAAGTCCACACGCACTTCAAGATGCAGGAATCTTCCTCTCTCGGGAGAGGGAGCCGGCTTCTAACACTTCCCTCCCTGTCCTTGGGTGGGGGGGGGGGAGAGAAGACTTTCTTCACTTCAAGCAGAATAAAGCTCATTTCTGCTTCCAGGAGAGCTTCGCACAGTGTCAGATGCAGAGGCCACCTTCAAAGGAAGTCCAAAGGAAGAGATGGAAAAGGGGGTTCTGGGGGAAGTTGGGGGTACTGCATTCAAGGAAAGAGGAGGGAATAATAGGCTTGCCATTGTAGCACTTTGCAATCGCTTCAGGTTACAGACTCCGCTAACCCAGAAATATTAATAGTCTGGCCCCCCACAAGGTCTGAGGGACAGTGGACCAGCCCCCTGCTTAAAAAGTTTGCTGACCCCTGCACTAGATGACCCCCCAGGTCCCTTCTAACTCTATACAGTGGTACCTCGGGTTACAGACGCTTCAGGTTACAGACTCCGCTAACCCAGAAATAGTACCTCGGGTTAAGAACTTTGCTTCAGGATGAGATCAGAAATCACGCGGCGGCGGCAGCGGGAGGCCCCATTAGCTAAAGTGGTGCTTCAGGTTAAGAACAGTTTCAGGTTAAGAACGGACCTCCGGAACGAATTAAGTTCTTAACCCGAGGTACCACAGCAATTCTAGGATTTTCTGGTCCACTGGGCCCTCAGACATAGCTCAGCCAACTGTCTCTCTTTACTCCCACATGGATCCTTCTCCCTCAGCTTTCCCTGGTCCTTTCTGGCCTGCTCCCACCCTTCTACCATGCCCATACCCTTTTCTTCCCAACTCCCCACGGTTCCCTTTTTCTGAGCATGTTCTCTCAGCACCTAAACCATCTGCCACTCTTACCCGGCTCAGGAGATCGCCCTGCAGAAGTGTCTGCTGCAGCGCCCCTGGGGCCACCGTTTCCAGTTGCAGGACGTGGCAGAGCTCGGTCAGCTCCTCGTGGCCCAGGGAGCCAGTGCCGGTGACGTCAAAGCTGTCGAAGAGCTCTTTGAGGCGGGCTTCAGACTGGTCCTGCTCAGCTTCATCCATCCCATAGCCCACTGCGCTCAACTGTCGAAGGGAGACAGAAGAACACCACAAATAGTTAGTTACTCTTGCAAGGACTCCAGAGATGTTGAAGATAATGCATCTCTCTCTCTTGAAACCATAGTTTTGTTGAGACGTAACCAATGGGACGCAGGTGGCACTGTGGGTTAAACCACAGAGCCTAGGACTTGCCGATCAGAAGGTTGGCGGTTCGAACCCCCGCGACGGGGTGAGCTCCCGTTGCTCGGTCCCTGCTCCTGCCAACCTAGCAGTTCGAAAGCACGTCAAAGTGCAATTAGATAAATAGGTACCGCTCCGGTGGGAAGGTAAACGGCGTTTCTGTGCACTGCTCTGGTTTGCCAGAAGCGGCTTAGTCATGCTGGCCACATGACCCGGAAGCTGTACGCCGGCTCCCTCGGCCAGTAAAGCGAGATGAGCGCCACAACCCCAGAGTCGGCCACAACTGGACCTAATGGTCAGGGGTCCCTTCACCTTTTAACACCAAACCATGGTTTGCCCTAACTGCAGTTTGTACATGCAGCTACGTGTTCCAGGTGTAGAAGCAGACTGCGGTTTTTGGGGTTCCCCCTCCCCACTTTGCCCAAGAATTCCAGCAAACTATCCTCAACAGTGAGCAAAGTTTGCCAGTACGGATGAGACACCAAACAACAGGTTTGCAAACTGCGGTTTCCGGTTTGCAAACCCCAGATCCACGGTTGCGGTTTGCAAACCCCAGATCCACATTATATCTGAACCATCTCATAGCCTCTAGTTTTGGCCGATATACATTTATCCCTTCCAACTCTGGGATTCTACAGGGCGGGTCCAGCTTTAATTGCCTTGCAGCCAGGCACCGACTCTGCCTCCATCTATTGCCAGGCTTATCTGAATTGCAGAAAGGCTGGCCTCCTCTGGCAAAGGGATCCCTCCATTGTGCAGTTCGGCTCCAGAAAAAACAATCTTAATTGCCAACAACAAAACCTGAAATGTCTCCATGAAGAAATAATGTCCCCCAGCAGCTTCCAGATCAAAAGTAAACTCCAGGACAGCAGATAGCACACAGCCCAGTAAGAAATCTCTTATCTCTCCCTCGCCTCTCCCTCCCCTTCCTCTGTTCACTTCCTTTGAGCATTTCTCTAAACTACCTGTTGGAATAATGATGGTGGGATCCTCAAAGACCCAGGCTTTTTTTCCATTGCAGGCTCAGTTTCCCCATATTCAACAAAGGATGCAGAGCTGATGGATGCATTAAAATTGGCTAGAAAGGAAAGCCAGTCTACAGAGAACAGAAACTCCTCCTCATCAGCACCACAGCTTTGCATCTGGCCTTCCCAAATGTTTTTTTTAATGTCTGCAATCATGAGAGTTAGGAACTCATTTTGCTGTATTACCGACGACTGAAGAATGGAGGATGAAGTTAATGGACTATGCAGAATTAGATAAACTAACAGGAAGAATTCGAAACAGGCGGAACCAGAAATTCACAGAAGACTGGAGTAAATTTACGGACTATTTGAAAAGTATTTTGGAAGATCAGACGACGTTTGTAGGTTTGCAAGAAGTTCTGTGAGGAGTATTATTGGAAGTATTGCAAAAACAGAGAAGGGGGAGGATAATTTGTTAAAAGATTTAAAGGTAATATAAAGAAATGTATAAGAAGTGGATAAAACGGTGGATCATCAGAGGTGCTGATGGAAGTCAAAAAATATTGTATAAGTGATAAGTTTTGTGGTACATTTCATAATTTATATGTTAAAACCAATAAAAATTATTATTTTTTTAAAAAGGACCTTGTTTTGCTGTAATCTTCTCAGATTCCAAGACACACAGAAAATGCATCAGATAACTGCAGAGCTGGAAGGAAGTTTGCGGCTGAGCGGTATTTCGATATATCATCCAAAACCGGTTTGAAGAAAAGATTGCTCTTGAGCCCAGGTCCCGCTTCCAGGCTTCCCCTTGGCCATCTGGTTGAGAGAAGAGGCTGCTAGACTGGATCAGCCCCTGGTTGGATCCAGCAGAGCTCCTTGCATGTTCTTAGAGCAGCGCATACATGCTCCTGTAATCTTGCTCAGCAAACACACGCAGGGGCCACTGGGGAGCAGATGCAAGCCGGCCTCCCGTGCCTCAACGTAAACAGTCCCTTTGCTTACACCACATCCATTCATCAAGGAGCAGCTCAACTTAGTTTCACTACAGACAAATGGCCCAGGCAAGGTGCGAGGCTCCCCAGAGCTCCACCAAACTCCTGGGAGCTTGAGGTAATGCTTTGTCAAGGGGTATTAGGAAGGAGAAAAACAACCTGACTTGCAGGAACAAACAAGCTCCGGGCAGTTTTAGAAGGACGCTTTTAAAGAGACGAGACAGAGAAGCCAAGCCTCACAACTGGCGATGGCACCAGAACTTTAGCTATTCCCACGAGCGCTTCAGTTCTGCAGAAATTGTGGCAGGATGGATTACCAGAGAGTAACTCCCCCCCCCCCCCAGCACCAGGGTCCTAGCTTCTTACTGAATCAGAAGCATGGTTTTCTCAAAAGCTGAAAGACACTGATAAACTAAGAACATATCAAAAGCCAGTGAGGTTACAGGGAACCAGGCAGAGGGTCTTCTTGGTAGTGGCACCCGCCCTGTGGAACACCCTCCCATCAGATGTCAAGGAAATAAGCAGCTATCTTATTTTTAAAGGACATCTGAAGGCAGCCCTGTTTAGGGAAGTTTTTAATGTGTCACTCTATTTTTAATATTTTGTTGGAAGCCGCCCAAAGTGGCTGGGGAATCTCAGCCAGATGGTTGGGGTATAAATAATAAATTATAATATTATTATTATTAAGCAGTGCACAACAAGATGAAAAGGATACAATCAAGAGAAAAACTGGTCAAAATTTACCATGAGATCGAGGGGTGGGGAGAGGACAAGCCTTGAAAAGCATGCAGAATTAAAAACAGGTCTTCAGTGGATCAGGCCAGTAGCCTATCTAGTCCAGTACAGTGGTGCCTCGCAAGACGAATGCCTCGCAAGAAGAGGAGTTTGGATTTGATATCCCGCCTTTCACTCCCCTTCAGGAGTCTCAAAGCGGCTAACAATCTCCTTTCCCTTCCTCCCCCACAACAAACACTCTGTGAGGTGAGTGGGGCTGAGAGACTTCAAAGAAGTGTGACTGGCCCAAGGTCACCCAGCAGCTGCAGGTGGAGGAGCGGAGACGCGAACCCGGTTCCCCAGATTACGTGACTACCGCTCTTAACCACTACACCACACTGGCTCTCAGAAGAAAGAGTTTTCCGTTTTTCGAGGTGCTTTGCCAGACGAATTTCCCTATGGGCTTGCTTCGCCCATAGGGAAATCTCCGGGGACCTCTTTTAAAATGCTGGCGGTCGGGAGCAAAGACTTTCGCCCACCGCCAGCCTTCAGAAGAGGTCCTGGACTTCTTCTGAAGGCCGGCGGGGGGCAAAAGTCTTTGCTCCCCCCCCGCCTGCCTTCCTGGGACAGCGGCGACTTCTCCGCTGTCCCGGGGCGATCTTAAAATGCCCGCCAGCATTTTAAAATCGCCCCGGGACAGCAGAGGCTTCACTGCCACCCGCCAGCATTTTAAAATCGCCCCGGGACAGCGGAGAAGTCTCCGCTGTCCCGGGGGCTTTTAAAATGCTGGCGGTCGGCAGCAAAGCCCTCCTGTCCCCGGAGCTTGCGGGGCGGGAGGTGGGGAGAAGGGCTTTTCTTCCCACTGCCAGCCTTCAGAACAGCCTTCTGAAGGCTGGCGGTGGGAAGAAAAGCCCTTGTCCCCCCCCCCCCCAGCCTTCAGAAGAGGTCGAGGGACAGACTGTCCCCGGACCTGGTCTGAAGGCAGTTTCCATAGGAACGCATTGATTGATTTTCAATGCATTCCTATGGGAAACCGTGCTTCGCAAGACAAAAAACTCGCAAGAAGAAAAAACTCGCGGAACGAATTAATTTCGTCTTGCGAGGTACCACTGTATCCTGTTCTCATATTCACCAACCAGATGGGAAACCCACAATCAGGATTCGAACACAAGACCCCTCTCCCCTCCTGCAGCTGGGATTCAAAAGCATTGCTGCCTCCGACTGTGGAGGGAGATTCTACCCATCCTGGCTGGTAGCCATATATATATATATATATATATAAAATAGCAGGGGGGGGCTGTCTGATCTCACCTGGGAGGGGGCTTCAAGGTACCACTCAGAAGACAAGGAAAAGCACCCGGGAGGTTGGAGAGCAGCAGCTGAAGCAGCCCGTGCAACCGACTCGCTCGCCTGTCTGCCTCGGCTTTCTCCAGACCCACAGGAAGGCGGCTGCTACTCTTGGCTCTCCCAGGCTGCTGGCACCCCAGAGAGAGAGAACGACAGAACGAGAGAGAGAGAAGAGAGAGGAGCCTGAGCTCATCAGATGCAGAGCAGGTTCAGGAGAGAAAGAAGAACAGAGGCGCCCGCCGTGTGGCCACCTTCGCGCTCTGCTTCTGGGCTTTGTTGAGGCATCTGTGTGGATGGAAAGACGATGCTGGACCACATCAGGGCTTGGGATGCCTGTGGTCCTCCAAAGGATGCTGGATTCCAGCTCCCAGCAGCCCCAGCCAGGAGGACCAATACTCCAGGAAGATGGCTCCAGCAACCTCTGGAGTAAAGAGGGGACCATCGGTCCATTTCGGATTCACTCCATTTCTCGTTCCTCCCCACCATAGGAGCCAACCTTGATGGGCTGAAGTCCTTTCAGTCCCCCCAATAAAATATTTGAGGGGGCCGGGGGCTCCCCTAAGGTGACGGGCATTGTCATTTAAATGGTTTGTGTGTGCCGTGACTTGCGATCGATTATGCAGGGCAGGACTTACCTGCCGCCCATATTTTATTCAAGTTGGCACCACTGCTCCCCCCCCCCGAGAAAAAAAATCATAATTTCATTGTATCTGTTTAGGATGCTGTTTTCGTAATGTCGTCATGAACAGATTAAGGCTGAATCCTGACAAGACAGAAGTACTGTTTTGGGGGGATGGGACAGGTAGGTGTGGAGGACTCCCTG